CAGACATTGTCATGAAGAGCACCCTGGGTATATTCCATGATTTCCTCTTGCTCTTCCCTCTGCCGGAGTTACAAGGTGGTCTTTTTTGTCTCCTCACTATGAGAGCCTGGTAGGTAAAACCCATGCAAGTGTGAAAGCTCCCTAAACACTGAAGCCTGTAGCAGTTTCCCCCTCTCATGCTAGGCAGTACTCAGCCTCCAGCGACCATCAAAATTACCGCGTATGTGTTCCTATCAGTTTACGGCTCCAGTATCTTCTGCCCCGGGAAAGCAGATCTTGGCTGCGATTCTCTGGTTTTGCCTGTTTCTCAGATTTTGGGGAGTGCTTTGCCCAGTAACTTGTTTGAAAACAAATTTATAACATTGTAACATTATAACAAGTTTGACAGGTGGGGACTGTGTAGAGATAAGGAAGTTAGTGCACAATGATATTAAAGCACTGTGTAAAGTGATATGTACATTTAATAGGAAGTGTTTAATCTATTATATTTAATCAAATATTAACATATTAACCATCATTGAGCCTTACCCTAACCACTGCAGTGACTTCTAATGTGTCTTCCCTTCTGGTGGTACACCTCTCCGCCCCATTCTACGCACTGGCAACCACAGTTAAGTTTCTAATAGGACAGTGGCTCCTCTTGGGGTAAATTCAGACGTCATTGCCATGATTTTTGTGTTTCTTTAATGTATCTAACTTTCTGGCTTCTCCATCTTCCCACTCAGTATGTAGTCTTTTCTCCCAGCTTTATTGATGTTTAGTTGACAAATTTAAGATTGGATGTGTTTAAGGTATACAATTTGATAAATTGATATGCATATGTGTTGTGAAATATTCAGTACAATAAAGCTACTTAACATACTCATCACCTCACATAATTACTCTTTTCTTACAGTGAAAACACTTCAAGTCTGCACTCTTAGACAATTTCAAGTATGCAATACAATATTGTTAACCGTAGTCACATTGTTGTACATTAGATCTGATTTTTCTTTTCACTTCCCAACCTATATTATTTCTTGCCTCCTAGCTTTGTAGTTGGCATTTCTTCTACCTTGCATACTCTTCCCCTTTGCAGGTCTTTCCCCATTAACCCCTGTTTTTCGTTTGTATCTCAGCTGAAATGTCATATAGTCTGGGAAGCCTTCCCTGCACACTTAGATCTTGGTTACCTTTCTTCCCTACATGGGCCTACATCATTCTGTTTACCCTTGAATTGTCCTTATCATATGGTATTTGGTTATTTATTTGCTATAACCTCCATAATTACAAAATCCTTAAGGACTTACTTACCTATATTCTTAGCATAAAACAGTGTTGGAACATAGTAGGATCTAAGTAAAAAATTCATGAGAGAATGGATGAAAGTGCTATACTAGTAAATGCCAAGTGCATGTGGAAGACTCAAGATTTTCTTTGTTCTAAGGCTGCTATAAGCAACTGCACTTTGCTACCTCCATACCAAAATTTAATGGAATATAGAGTATAAGACCAGAATACTTCAGTTTTTAAATTTATTATTTTAGTGAAAAAGAGAACTCATGAATAGGGGATAGGGGCAGTGGGGGAGAGGGAGGGTAGGAGAAAGAGAGAGAGAGAGAGACTATCTTAAGTGGTCTCTACACTTAGCACAGAGCCTGATGTGGGGCTTGATCCCACGACCCTGGCATCATGACCTACGGGGAAATCAAGAGTTGGACCACTACCAAGCCACCCAGGCACCCCAAGGCCAGAATATCTTAAAAATATAGCAGAGAAGGGCCAGCTATGCTCAGGACAAACTCAGGCAAAGCATGTAATTCAAATAGAAAAAGCTGGAAAACTTGTACCCTTTGGTGGTAAAGGTTAAGATTTACTATCATAGTATATCAGATCTCATAACATTTGACTATTCTGTGAGCCAAACCATATTAAATCAAAGTTTAATTGTGTTCCATTTCAAAACAAAAGTTCAGGAAAATTGAAGTTGAAAATAAATATTTTAATAAAAATTAAAATTGCTTTGTTTGTGTGGAACTACACTAGAAAGGGGTATTTTGTCTCCTTTTCTTAAAAAAAAAAAAATGCTGTAGCAGCACCTGGGGTGGCTCATTTGGTTAAGCATCCAACTCTTGATTTTGGCTCGTCGTGATCTCACAGTTCATGGCTTCGAGCCCTGCATAGGACTCTGTGCTGATGGCACGGAGCCTGCTTGGGATTCTTTCTCTCCCTCTCTCTCTTTATTTCTTTCTCTCTCAAATAAATAAACTTTAAATTTTTTTTTTAAAAAGTGTAATACTTTTGTTTGACATTAGGGCACTATTCTACAGATATTCCAAAGTAACTGTACAATTGCTTATTTAAAAGTATGGCAGCCTGAACTTAAGACCTCCAGGAGTCTTGACTGTGGTAAAAACAGGCTTTCAAAATTCAGTTTCCGTCCTTCAAGTCAGGACTGTAATTGAATGACTTCTTTTTCTTTTAATATTTTTTCTAATAAGAATTACGAAGAAAAAAGGCTATTAGCCCCCATAGAATCATCAGAGCACTTGTTGTTCAGTGCTTTTATTTGGTAGTATTTACATTATTACTTGAACTTCCTTACTTAGGGTGATTATAAAGCAGTATTACAGAGGCCCACCCTGTCCATAGGGTGCTCAGACAACTTAAGGTCCCTAATAGCCTAGTTTAGCTCACATGAGAACTATTAAATAGTCACCAAGGAAAACATTCCACCATGAATATGTATTATTACGTTTGTTACAAATGTCCATAGTAGAGTTGGAAATAGTCGGTTTGTTCCTGTCTCCCTCCTTCCCTCCTTCCCTCCTTCCCTCCTTCCCTCCTTCCCTCCTTCCCTCCTTCCCTCCTTCCCTCCTTCCCTCCTTCCCTCCTTCCCTCCTTCCCTCCTTCCTTCCTTCCTTCCTTCCTTCCTTCCTTCCTTCCTTCCTTCCTTCCTTCCTTCCTTCTCTTTCTTTCACATATACCTAGATGTGGTTTGTGTCAAATTCCCCAGCCTGGTGATATTTTTTTTTTTTGGTCAAAATAAGAAGATACACAGTAGAGACACTATACTACATCTAGTCTGGAATATACATCAGGTTACATGGAGCCAAAGTTAAAAATAGTCATTTGAGACAATGACACTAAAATAGCCCATCCAAAAGCATAAATACAAAAGTGGACAATTGATAAGCCTGTGGATTCACCATTTTACAGTGGATTCCTTTGCTGTTTAACTGACTGAGCTGGTAGCCCGGCAGACTGGTCCAGGAGACGTCTAGGAGTGAGGAAATCATTCAGTGCAAGATCCTGATTGAGTTTGTTGGGACCTCTAATATTATTTCTGGCCAGTTAGCTAATGCCAAGAATTAACTAGAAGATTGGTTTAATGCACTTATTAAGTTAAAAAGTAAAATGATATGCAGTTTTAAAACTCTCAGGGGTGTTTAAATTTATATTTTGCAAATCAGGATTTTTGAAAATGTTACATCCCTATCTGAAAAAGAAGGTCATTCAGTGATTAAGTCTATTGTGTCCTTTATGTTAAGTGTTACCGTGAGGAGGAGTCTCACAAGTCACTAAAAACCCTGATTCCTTGACAGCCCCCCCACCCCCCCCCACTATGAGATTCAGATTCTCTGGTAGGCCCAGGAATCTGCATTTTAACTGAACTCCAGGTGGTCTGTGGGCCATCTTTTGATGAAAAAATAAGCTCAATGGGTCTTGAAGATCCAGTTCTATCAAATCTTACCTCCTTTTTCTCAAAGAAGATTCCACTTTGTTCAATCTAGTGTTGGTGGGACCACATGTAGGAGTTTTGTGACCCTGAGTTCCTCCTCCTTAGTGATCTGCTGTCTCTGTAAAGGGAGAAGATTAGTCCATCACTTAAGTCATTTGGCAACGTACCTGAGATAACTGGCAAACCAGCTTCTTCCTCAGAAGGAAGGATGCTTTCCTTTTCCTTCATGTCCACTCACTCCCTTAAATTCTCTGCTGCTGTATCTTCTAGAGATCTTTTACTTTCATCTGTTATTAATGTATTTCTTCCATCTCTGCTTATCCAGATTTACCTGTTATTGAAAGTCAGGTGCAAAAGTTACTGAAACTGCTCATGTCCCCAAATGAAGGATCTTGTGTTACCCTGACACCCATACATTCCACAGTGTATCTCTTACTGCATTTACTGTGTTTTACAGTGTAACATAGTTATACTTATGCCCCTACACTGCTTATTTATTTTTATTAGACTCCCTGATTTTTCATGTACATTTGTATCCCACAAGTAAAATGCATTTATCTTTAAATGTGTTCATTTGTTTTAATAATAAAGGAATGAACAGTTTGTTAGATTGCAATAATAATTCTGAAGTCTACATGATTATTTAATCAATATACACTTATTAAACATCTGTTTATCCTGTAAACTGCTAGGTCCTGTATATGAAGACAAAACGTCTGAATAATTGACTCTGTATTAGGCTTTTATTTGGTTGTGTGGATATATTTTTGGTATGTTTGCTTGTTAAATGTGGAAGTAAATGAATCCAAACATACTTAAAACCATGAAGACTTCTTTCATCAGGGAGTAAATATCTGAAGTCCATGTACTATAAAAATGTATTAAATTAGTTTTCTTTTTAACACCTTCAGTTACTCTTTCTTTTTCTTTTTAATTTTTTTTAACATTTATTCATTTTTGAGAGAGAGACAGAGCCTGAGTGGGGGAGGGGCAGAGAGAGAGGGAGACCCAGAAACGAAAGCAGGCTCCAGGTTCTGAGCTGTCAGCACAGAGCCTGATATGGGACTTGAACTCACAAACCATGAGATCATGACCTGAGCCAAAGTCAGATACTCAACCGACTGACCACTCAGGTGCCCCCTTTCTTTGTAAATAAATGTGTATACATGAACAAATAAAACTTCATAAGCATTTGAGCAAGGATTTTAAAATTAAAAGACAAAACAATATACAAAGTTGAAATGATTTGCCTCTCTTCTGTGTGTTCTTATTATTTCAGATGATGGAAAATTGTCCTTTGAAGAATTCAAAGCATATTTTGCAGATGGTGTTCTGAGTGGAGAAGAATTACATGAGCTCTTCCATACCATTGATACACATAATACCAAGTAAGGAACTTTTTTATCATTGGATTCTGTAAATGATGTAGGGAAGGTGTGAACAAGCACATGCTGATGAAGGAGAGAGTGAGAAAATATGTAAAGGGCACATTTTATAATGTTTAATTCTGTATGTTTACTCTTTTTTGAAGTTTATTTATTTTGAGAGAGAGAGAGAGTACTTGGGTGAGTGCACATGTGAGCAGGGGAGGAGTATAGGGAGAGAGAGAATCCCAAGCCACCTCCAAGCTGTCAGCACACAGCTGGATGAAGGCTGGGTCTTAGGAACTAACCAGGAAATGGATCTTGAAGTTGAGATAGTAACCTGCATGGAAATCAATAGGTGGTTGCTTAACAGACTGAACCACCCAGCCACCCTTCTGTGTGTTTACTTTTGAGATACCCCCTCTTTAGTAATGGAAATACTCTGAAAAACTGAGTATTGAATTGCAAAACAGTGATCTTTTTAAAAAAGTTTTAATGTTTATTTTTATTTTTTTAAATAGTTTATTGTCAAGTTGGTTTCCATATAATACCCAGTGCTCATCCCCACCAGTGCCCTCCTTCATGCCCATCACCCCCCTTCCCCTCCCTCCCACCTCTATCAGCCGTCAGTTTGTTCTCAGCATTCAAGAGTCTCTCATGGTTTGCCTCCCTCCCTCTCCCCTACTATTTTTTCCCTTCTTCTCCCCCATGGTCCTCCGTTAAGTTCCTCCTAATCCTCCTATACGTGCAAACATATGGTATCTGTCCTTCTCTGCCTGACTTACTTCGCTCAGCATAACACCCTCAAGTTCCATCAATGTTGCTACACATGGCCAGATTTCATTGTTTCTCATTGCCATGTAGTATTCCATGGTATAGATAAACCACATCTTAATTTTTAATGTTTATTTTTGAGAGAGAGACAGAGAGACAGACAGACAGAGCACAAGTTGGGGAAGGGCAGAGAGAGAGGGAGACACAGAATCCAAAGCAAGCTCCAGGTTCAGAGCTGTCAGCACAGAGCCCGATGCAGGCTTGAACTCACAAACCATGAGATCATGACCTGAGCCGAAGTCAGTCGCTAAACCGACTGAGCCACCCAGGTGCCCCTAAAACAGTGATTTTCTGTAGGGAGCCTGATTAAAGTAGCTTTAGAATGTGCAGAATGTAAGACAAAAGCAAAGATAAGAAATAATTTTAATTGTGTCATTAATAAGAAAGTAGGATGCTACCTTCTTTCTTAAGTTTCATCTCAGTTTGCTTCATCTAAAACTTGTCCTGAGACCATTCTTATATTAATGTAGTGAAGTGTGGAACTGCAGCAATTTTCTGGACGATTCAGATGTGCTTCACTCCAAATCACTGTTACCTGAGACATGCAGGTAATACAGGACATAGAATTTTTTTCTGAATAATCAATGTATATAGTGATCTATTTTATTTATTTTACATATGTAGGTCTTTCCTTTGCATTGTATAGCATTTATAAAGTTTCTATTTATATTCTTACTATACTTAGAAATATAAAATAAGGAGGAGTTTAGGCTATTGAACAACAGAAATATGCTGTTTGATTTGGGTAATTGATCCAAGTCACGCTATTTGTAACAGTCGTGATTACAGAATTCTCATGTGGAAAATGCATCCGTCATCTCAGCCATGCCTGGAGACCCTTCAGCGTGTCTCCTACTTGAACAGTCACTGTCTCGCCTTAGGCAAAGTGTGGAGATGGTCCTGGCAGGGAGCCAGCTTGCCAGGAACATCCTCTTGGGTAACATTGAGGCGTTGACTTTTTTGTGTGTGGTGAACTAATGAGAAAAATTAAAAGATTAAATTCACTTTCCTCAAGCAGTGGAAAATTTTGAAAATAATCAGTCTGTAAGTTTTGTCTGTTGGAATTTCAAATTCCTTATGAAACAGCTTCATTTTTTTGTTGTCAGAAATAGTATTAGCTGATAACTGTATCAGAAGTTTCATTCTGTTCAACAAGTCTAAGTCCCTAGTAGGAAGGGGCTGGTACAATATGGAAGCTGCTTATAGTTGATGAAACAGTAGACCCACTAACAAGTCATTTCTATATGATATCATAGATACTGTGACTGAGGTACATAGAGGATACTTTGGGATAACACAGTGGGGCAGGGAATTTTAGCCTAGTTTGATAAGCTCCAGGAATGTTCCTAGGATTGGGTAGCCAGGAGCGGAGTCTTTATGGGGGAGCAGAAGCCAGTTAGGTAAAAAATGGAGTGAGGGAATATTCCAGCTAGAGGAAAAAGCACAAGATCTAAAAGTATAAGGTGGATGGGAGTGACAAGTATTTCATGTTATGAGCGTGTCATCAGTTGTAAGGCTGAGGGGGGAGGAGAAAAATCTGGAAACGGAAGAATGGGCTGGGCAAGAAGGAATTTGTGCTCTGAGATGCAAGAGCGCTTCAAGTTTATACTGCAGGCCAGGAAATGCCATTAAAGCACTTAAGCCAGGGAGCACCATCTTTGTAGGTTATTGTGGTTCTACTGAAGGACAGAACTAAGGGAGCAAAGGTGGAAAAAGGTCATGGATGTTAGCTGAATTCCTAAATCACTGCTAGGGAATAATGAATATATGTGGAAGGAAGGAATCCATGTGAACCATTCTGAGAAGGAATTCCTGAGTGAAATAAAGAGCAGAAGACTCCCTTTACGGCTCAAATGTTAGAAGCTGAGATGCTAATACTCCATCATGTATGTTGATTATTTATTTCTCGTTATACTTGCCATTAAAGTTTTAACAATATCCAGGTTTAGAACAATTATTGAGAGTCATAATAGCAATCTTAGGTGTCGCAGAGATTTTTCAAGACACATTTACTCATATTATGAAAACTAAAGTTTTTAGCAAACCTTATTGGCTTCATTTTGCTATTTTACTTATGTATTTATTAGTTGAAATTACTTGGCATAGCATTAAGATTACATTAAATGCTAAAGAATTATATGCAGTGATTTATACAGTAAGTCCAAAGGAGTAATTATTACTACCAGTTGCTGCCATTCATGCATTAGTAAAAACACTTAAGTGTTTTCTGGTAACTGTTTTCAGAGAAGGGTGTTCAACCTAATTTGGAGCTAAAATATATTAGAGACTTCAGAATTGTATTCATGAAATTCCTTAAAAAAGAAAAAGAATGTCAGTGTCAGGCTTTGATCTTTTAAGGGCATTAATTCAAACACTGACATAGAAGTTGCAGAGCTATACTTCAAGGAAGTGATAACTTTTGTCTATGCATAATCCAAGTTTCAATTATCTTAGTGATTGTACTATATATGCCATATTTTTCCCCTTCCACATAACTTATAAAAAAATATATTCTTGTACACTCAGCGTCACTAACAATTCTAATTTAATCAAGGGGGTAGCCTGGCCTGAAGGAGCCAATTTATACATAGGCCAGACAATGTCACTCAGACCCATTGTCTCATGTTTATGGTCAACTGTCAGATTCAGATACGATGAATGTCTGCTGCTCAGGCCCCTAGGGGTATCTGGTTCCTGCCCCTCCCAATATCTGGTGGTTTAACTTCATCTTGGAGTCTATTAAATCACTATCCACTTAATATACTGTATTTTCTCGAGCTTATTTGAGTAAGATTCTCTTCCTTGCAAAAGTATATGCTAAGACAGTATTACCTTCACTCATTTCTGCCATCTATGGAAATTTTTCTCTTTGCTATAAATATTATATTTGCCGTGTTTGAAAAGTGACATATCCGCTCTGAAAATATTTGGAAATAAGTAAGGAAAATACTGAGAACATGTCTTGCTACTAAATTTTCCCCTTTTTTCTCATGAAAAATATTCTCAAAATATTGTGCTCTTAAAGTATGCTCGATCATGAAAAGCAGATATTACTTAGAAATGTAATTGTAGCTTTCCCTGTAGTACCACATCATTAAGATATTTAAATGTCAAAATTAAGTATATTATTCCTTGTAAAAGGACATAAAAAAAAAACCTATCAGGTCAGGTCAACCTACAGATTCTCAGAGACCATGTGTTTACAGGTAGCTTTTCAGTGAACAAACTATACACATAGGGCTGTGCACTGATTGAAAAAAGGTTTGGACGAGTTAAAAACATATATATGGTCCTCTCCACACTCATTTAGGTAGCAATCTTAATTTACAAATCCAGCTTCCTGAGTTTTTCCTTTCCTTTCCTCCATTCATTTCTTTGCTCTTTTATTTTAAAAAATCAATATGTTCATTTGAGAAATTATGTTTAGCAGATTCCACTGCAGCTTTTAGTGTGCCCTGCAGCCACTTGGATCTTTTCAGTCTGAAGATTTCCTCCCCTGGATACAAGGAAACTGTAACCAACAAATTAAAAAAAAAAAAAAGTGAAAGACACACAGCTTCAGAAGAACATTGAGATACTGCAAAGATTTCTATACATGACTAAGATTAGAAATATCTATAGGTCTGAATCACAGAGAATTTTCTTTTTAGTGGATTTCAAAACGAAACCTTCAAGCATACATCCCTTTGTGTTAAAGAAATGTCTAGAGAGCTCTGCTCACTTTTCTGGCCTGCACAGTTGCAAGCTTAACCTCAAAATTTGGTACAGTCTCATTCTAATGAGAATTCCGTGAATCATCCTAATTGTTTGATTGGAAATTTAATAATGGGTGATTTGCCAGCAATTACATTCCTAATCTACATGCCCTGAAGATTTCACTCAGAACAGGGACTAGAAATGAAAAGGACCTGAAAGAAAGTAGGAGACATTTGAAGACCTCAGAAGTCTAAATTTCCATCACCTTTATCCAAAGATTAATTTTAACATTGATCTTTTCATTATGTTTGGATATTTGGAAAATTTTCATGAGTTTTTTCTTGAATAGTGTGGTTGAGTGTGGAATACAAATCCAGCTTTTTCTGTGGTTGATCCTCAGGATATATGGCATAGGAAAGAAAAAGAAGGTCAAAATGTAAGTTTTTGTCAACAGGGCAAAATATTGTTGAAAATTTTAACTTTCTCAAACCTTA